GAGAGAGAGAGAGGTTGAATGGCAAAATTGAAATATGGGTCAAATTGCGGCCGCAATCTATTTCGCAGTTGGAATGATTTTTTAAAATTTATGTAACGTTTTTCCTGGAAAGATCACAACAAAATTTACAAGTACTCTAATTTTCAGGTTTTTTCACGCATTCTTCTGAGCGCAAAAACTCACTGAATTTGAAGTACTTTTTTAGTTGGCCTAGACATGGCTGAGTGGCAAAAATGAAAAATGTGCTGAATCGGCGCGGCGATTATTTCGCAGTCTAAATGATTTTTTGTAAATGTTGTATTATTATTTTTGGAAAGAACACGACCTCATCTATGGATTCTCAAAATTTCAGATTTTTGTGCATGTTCGTCTAAGCACAGAAAATCGCCAAAGTTGCCTTTTGCAAAACGCTTGTTTCGTTGTGCCTAACCTCCCTGTTTTGAGAAGACGGGGATCAACGCCTGGGCCTGAGGGCCCTTTTGCAGTTCACATGCCCTCACTTCTTTTTGGGGACCGCTTCTACCGAGGACTGGTCCAATCCAATGCCCCCCACTTTTTTTTGGGGTTCACTTCCACCGGAGGACCGGTCCTTCGTTTTTTCAAAAGTCCTGGTTCTACCATAGCTAGCTGTAGGTAGTCTGCAATTTTGGCAAGGACCGGTCCCCCAAAATTTTTCACCCCGGAAAAACCCACTTGCGTCCTGGTCGCCCGTGGAGGAAAATGCGATACCTTGACACAGACGTCGAAGCCCACTATACCGCAGCCTTAGGGCTGCGAATTTTGCATTCTATTGTACTCGTCTGTATCACAGTGCAAGCGCAGCGCACGGTATCCAGACACCGTGCTTTGACATTCCCTTAAACTCTTGGCTATGTGAAGCGACGCAAAGGTGTCAGCAACCTCTCTGCTGCTGCATCCCACCGTTTCTCAGTCATCGTGAGAACGAGCATAGCAATCACATGCTTAATTAATTGTCTACCGCGTGGGGGCGGGGAACGCAGCCCTAAGGTAGCCAAATCAATGAGACTAAGAGCTAACACAAGAGAGAGAGAGAGAGAGAGAGAGAGAGAGAGAGAGAGAGAGAGAGAGAGAGAGAGAGAGAGAGAGAGAGAGAGAGAGAGAGAGAGAGAGAGAGAGAGAGAGAGAGAGAGAGAGAGAGAGAGAGAGAGAGAGAGAGAGAGAGACTGAATGGCAAAATTGAAATATGGGTCAAATTGCGGCTGCGATCTATTTTGGAGTTGGAATGATTTTTTAAAATTTATTTAGCGTTTTTCCTGGAAAGATCACAACAAAATCTACGAGTACTCCAATTTTCAGGTTTTTTCACGCATTCTTCTGAGCGTGAGAGCTCACTGAATTTGGAGTACTTTTTTAGTTGGCCCAGGCATGGCTGAGTGACAAAAATGGAAATTGTGCCAAATCGGCGCGGCGATTATTTCGCAGTGTAAATGATTTTTTATAAATGGTCTATTATTATTTCTGGAAAGAACACGACCTCATCTATGGATTCTCAAAATTTCAGATTTTTGTGCATGTTCGTTCGCCAAAGTTGCCTCTTGCAAAACGACTGTTTCCTTGTGCCTGAACTCCCTGTTTTGAGAAGACGGGGCTCAATGCCCCGGCCTGAGGGCCCTTTTGCAGTTCACGTGCCCGCACTTCTTTTTGGGGTCCGCTTTCGGGGACCAGTCCAACGCCCCCCACTTCTTTTTGGGGTCCAAAAGTCCCGGTTCTAGAAGAGCTAGCTGTAGGTAGTCCGCAATTTTGGCAAGGACCGGTCCCCAAAATTTTTTTGCCCCCTAAGAACCCACTTTGCGTCCTGGTCGTCCGCCACCAAAAATGCGACACCTTGACATAGACGCGGAAGCACACTATATATACCGCAGCCTAAGGGCTGCAAACACAGACCGCTCGCTCAGACTCACACCCGTGTTGGTCATAGACCCTACTAACTAATCGACCCTACTAACATTGAGTAGCAGCAGTGGCTATGGCCAACACTCTCCCACAAACCACACACAACCCACTCACGCTCAGACTCACACCCGTGTTGGTCGTAGACCCTACTAATACCGATCAGGGGTATCAAGAGGAATATCACAGTCTGTTCAGCAAAATAGCTGGGAAAAGTACTCGCTATATAAATGTCTATCTACTTTTCCAAAAAAAAAGAGTCCATCGTAGTCGCCCCAGCCTCTTGGCTGCGAATTGCGTTTTGGACGATTGATTGATAACTGGAAGCATTGCAGCTGCCGTCAGCTTTGAGAGGATGCAATTCGAATGTACTTGAAATGGGAAAAGAGAAGCTGCAAGGATTGATTGATTGGTAACGGAACGGAAAAGAAGAATTCGTTTGGGTCCACGTCAGTTGGGGGGGGGATTGGTCCCACTAGACAAAAAAGTGTAGGTCCAACCGTCGATCTAGATATTATTAGGGCATACTCACACTAGGACTCTCCTGGATGTATGTGACCACTTTTGCGACCCGGCCGGGATGGACCTGACCTCGAATACGTCCACAGAGGAGTCGAAAACGTGGGAGTATGCCCTTAGATTGGGTGGGGCAAGTCGTGCGGATTATCGAGTGAAATGGAATACAGCCCAGGAAGACTCGAGACAATGATCATCTGAGAATGCTTTGGAAGTCACGGCGGAGGTATACTGATCGGGAAGGGAGGTGGTTTGAAGACCCCCCAAAACGTCCTTGATTGCTAGCTATAACGACTAATTAACGCGTTCGCCGAAGGCGATATGATTGAGAAGAATTCGTAATACCCCACTTGAGCTCTTTTGTCTGGGAACGAGGCTTCACTGTCTATCTGTCTGTGCTAACGCTGTGATATCGTCCGACTCCGAGTCACAGCGGAACGGGTCGGGACAGCGAAACAGGTCGGGACCGCGGAACAGGTCGGAACAGCGGAACTGATCGGGACAGCGGAAGAGGAATTGCGCTGGCGAGCAGCGAAGCCAAGGTGTTGTTGGGGTGGTTAGGATATGAGAGAAAAAAAAATAGAAAAAAATTAAGGGAAGGGAAGGAAGTGTGTGGTTGGTTGGTTGTGTGATTGCCGCGTGCGCGCCTTTGTGTGTGTGTGTGTGTGCGTTTTTGAGAGAGAGAGAGAGAGAGAGAGAGAGAGAGAGAGAGAGGCATTGATTTGTGGAGTGATTAGGTTGACCAGTGCCTTTGGACAAAGAGAGAATGGCGCGAAAGGTCTATGGCAACGCGTTTGAACTTATATATATATAAATACTGGCATATATAGATACGTAGCAAAGGACAGAGAAAGCTGTTGTCATACCATCGCGCGATCGATTGAACTGTTCTATTGGTATTTTAGGGAGAGGGAGGAGGAGGACGACGAAAGGCAGAGAAGGAAATGGGAGGCGGGTACGACAGATACGATAGGCACGATAGGTACGAGAAGCAGGACCGCTACGACAGCCGAGATGGTGGGGGCGGCCGTTATGGGGATGGAAGGCGTGTAGGGAGACCAGGAGAAAGGGATGAAGGTGGGCGGGCGACAAGAGTGGATGGTCGTCGGAGTCGAAGGGATGATTGGGAGCGAGGAAGGGATAGAGATTGGGATCGCGATTCGGACGGAGGGGGAGACAGAGAAAGGAGGTGGTACAGGGATGACGGAAATTCTGATCGTCACCGAAGAGATGGAGGGGGGAGGAAAGGGTACAACCCGAGTGGGGGGCCGCGGGGGGATAGACGGGGGTATAGCAGGGACAGCAGGGGAAGAGGGGGGTATGACGAGGAGGACAGCTGGGATGATGAAGAAGACTCGAGAGAGTGGAGCGATTACGGGGTGGAAAGTAGCCGAAGGGAGGGGGACACAGGTAGATCGTCTGGGAAAGGGAGGCGTGAGGGAGAGAAGAGGGAGGTGAAGGAGAAGAAGGAAGGGGGGAAGGAGAAAGGGGAGAAGGAGAAAGGAGAGAAGGAGAGGAAGAAGCGTGGGGACAAGGAGAAACGAGAGAAACATCGGGGGAGTAGTAGGCGGAAGCATGCGGACGAAGGGGGGGATGAGTCAGAGGAGGAGGATGACGAGGGGGCTTCGGAGAGAAGGGGGGAGGGGGAGAAGGATGGGGGGAAGAGAGGGGGAGGGAAGCGGGCGAGGGCGGAGGCGGATGAAGCAGAGGAGAGAGAGGAGAAGGACGGGGGAACTCGAGGAAGAGGAGAGGGGAAGGGCAAGAAACTCCGCGGTGGAGATCAAGATGATGGTGGAGGCGAAAAAGGGGGAGGGGGGCGCGCAAGGGGGGAGAAGAGAGAAGACGAAGGGAAGAGTGGGGGGAAGGGGAAGGAAGGTAAGAGCGGTTCCCGAGGGGAGAAAGGAGGATCGCGGAAGTTAAGTAGCACAGTAATGAGGGATGGAATGAAGGTCAGCGGTAAGGAGAGGAGGAGGCACCGGAAGCGGACGCGGTCGCTATCCGGATCTCGGTCGCGTTCGTGGTCGCGGTCGAGATCGAGGTCGGGGTCTCTGTCCTCCCGCTCAAGGTCCTCGAGATCGGAGTCGGTGTCGCGATCGCCCTCGCCATCGAGGTCGGAGTCGATGTCCCGGTCGCGATCCAGCTCGGAATCCCGATCGAGGTCACCGGAACCAAAGAAGCGGTCGACCAAGAGCACCAAGGCGCCTCCTTCTTCGTCTAAGGTTAAGGAGAAGGAGACGACGGGCAGAAGGGGTGAGAAAAGAGAGGAACGACGGGGAAAGGAGGAGAAGGCCCAGAGAGGAGAGGAGGACAGGCGGGCCGTAGGGAGGGAGCAAAAGTCAGGGAAGGATAGGGAGGCCGCGGGAAACGTGGATGACGTGGCGGCGGCGGCGGCGGGAGCAGCAGCGGAGAGTGTGGCGGCGGGAGCGGCGGCGGTCACGACGACGATCTCGCCGCGGTCGCCGGAGAAGAAGAGGCAGCGGACGCGGGCCAATCATTGGGATCAACGACCGGTCCGGGCGGAGGCAGGCAGCGGCACTGGACAGCAGCAGGAGAGGCGAGAGGAGGAGAAGAAGCCGCAGCCACAGTCGGACGAGCGAGCGCGGGCGACTTCAGGTCAGGCTGAGCAGCGCCAGGAGCAGCGCGGAAAGGAGACGGCGGCGGTTGCTGCGGAGGCGGCGGCGGCCGGGTCCCAATCGCAGCAGCCACAGGCGGTGATCGGTACGGGGGCATCCTCAACCGTTCAGCAGCAGCACCCAGGGAAGGCTGCCACGTCAGCTGTCCAGGGATCGCGATCGGGATCTGCGTCATCGAAGGTGGAAGCAGCCTCGCCCGCGCCGTCAGCGATGGCGGCCGTAGCCGCGGCAGCGGCGGGAATCAATCAGGCGCTAGCTGCGGGGCAACAAGGGCCATTGCTTGGGGGCTCCGGCGCGGGGACGACCACCCATCAGCAGCAGCAGCGCCAATTGCCGCTGTTGGGGAGCGGTGCAGGTGTGCTTGCCCATCAGCCACATCAGCACCAGCAGGGCGGAGTAGGCGTCCTTGCTGGCTTATCGACGACAGGAATGACCCAATCAACCTCGATCTTGACGGGATCGGGACTCCAGCAGATGACCATGTCGCAGGCGGCGGGAGGGGCGGGACAACTTGTCGGTTATGCGGGGCATCATCATGCTCATCAGGCATCGCTCGCCGCAGCGGCGGCGGCGGCGGCAGGCATCAATCAAGGCATGGGTCTCAGCCAGTCAGCGATTACTGCAATCAATCAACTGAGTCAGGCGGCGCTGTTACGCGGACAGTTGGGCAGGAATCCGCTGGCGGCGGCGGCGGCGGCGGCGGCGGGGGCGGGAGGGGGAATGATGCTCTTAGGCGCGGCGACGATGCTTTCGCAGGTCAGTGCAACTGTAGCGCCGCCTCCAACGGTCACCCTCAGCCAATCAACGAGGCCTGCACGCCGGATCTATATTGGGAACACGCCGCCTAACATCACCGATCTCGAGCTTCAGGAATTTCTTAATAATGCAATGACGGTGGCAAATGCTATTCATATCCCTGGAACGAAGCCGGTGATTAACGTATCGGTAAGTTTCACGGAATGAGGGGCTCCCTGTCTCCCCCTGTCCCTCTCTGTCTCCGTCTCTGTCTATCTCTGTCTATCTCTGTCTATCTCTGTCTATCTCTGTCTATCTCTGTCTATCTGTCTGTCTGTTCCCACTCTCTCTCTCTCTCTCTCTCTCTCTCTTTCTCCCCCTGCGGCGCGTGCTCGCATAAGTAACGCGCGCCCATGTGTTGGAAGAATAAATGGCCCTGTCTCTCTCCCTGTCTATCTGTCTATGTCTGTCTGCTCCCCACTCTCTCTCTCTCTCTCTCTCTCTCTCTCTCTCTCTCTTTCTCTCTCTCCCCCTGCGGGCACGCGCTCGTAGGTAGCGCGCGCCCGTGTGCGCTCTCTAACGGTGTAAGAATAAATGGGTCTGAGCGCCAAGTGAACTTACTGTAAAAGGGAAAAAGAAATGGAAAGAGGGGTTGGTCCATACCGTCTTCCCCGAATAGAACGTACGGTCATCATGAATGTATCTAGAGTGAAATGTGCCCTAAATGCAGCTATAATGACTGTACTTTCTGACGACAGCATTATTGTACCCATCAGGGAACTCGCTATTATAAAAGAAAAAATAAAAAAAATAAAAAAAACATAAAATAAATAGAAAACAGAGTGAACTTATTTGCCAAGTATTATTTGCACAAAATGAAGTTATCACAAGTAATAATCGCGTAAAGCCAGATTCACGGATAGAGGTTGGGAGCTTTTTTATTTTTCTTTTTCATTTTTTTGGGTGGAATGAGATTTTGGGTGTTTCGTTTCCCTAAAGGACTATTTATAACTTGGCAAGGTAATCAGAATTGTGCCTCATGTTTTTTTTTAGTAATTAAAAAAAAAAACAGTAAAAGGAAAAAAAAAGAAAATAAGGTGTCCTTTGTCGTCTTATGTGTTCTCAGACCAGCTCGTGCCTGAATCATGTCTTTCTGTGATTCATGCATGATCTTCGTGCTACGTGCCGTGTATTGGGATTTAACTGAAATTGTACGTTCCTTTTTTTTTTTTTTTTTTTTTTTTTTAAGAAAGGCTATTTTTTTTAAAGCTCAACCAGTGCAATCACCTGTCAAATCTGGACAGGCCGGCCGTTCAGGCCTTTTTATTATCATTATGATATGATTCATTATAGTATTACGGGTTCATTATAGTATTACGGGGAACCCCGTTGCAGCCACATCAGCGCTCAAGACTCCAACACGAGGGTACATGCGGGAGCTGCACCCACCCATAGGTGCGATACCTGCTTCAGCAGGTGGGCGATACCAGCTAGGGGTCAGCAGGTAGCATCAGGATCGAGCTTCTTCGATGGGTCATGCAGAGCCAAAAAGAAAGAATGAAAAAAAAAAGAAAGAAGGAAAAAAAAAGAAGGAAAAAAAAAAAGAGAAATTGTACGTTCCGACGAATAATCATTGACTGATTAGGTGATGGATGGTAAGGGGCGGGACACGTGGCCCTTCTTGGTGTGAAGGGTATCTCTTCCCATCTAAACCAAAAAGAACTGCCGTCTTCACCGGAATAGAATAGCCCGGTCATTATCGCTGTATCTAGACCGGAAGCTACACTAAATGTACCTGTCAATGACCGGGCGTTCTATTCGGGTGAAGACGTTAGGGCATAATTACGTAGAAAGCGATCTAACCCAGCCCAGGCATTGTCGTTGCATCTCGACCGAAAGCTGCACCAAGTGCACCTGTAATGACCGGGCGTTCTATTCGAGTGAAGACGGTAGGTCATAACTTAAAAAGCGATCTAATTTTGTCCTATTCGGGTGAAGACGGTCCAGGTGATGCTCCCCCGCCACTACCAACAGGTGGTGTGGCGTTTTTCTGTTTTTTTTTTCCTTCTTTTTTTTTCTTTTTTTTCTTTAATTATTATAATTTTATTTCCCCCCTGTCCTTGGAAGCCCATTAGCATGGCCTCTGCGGAGGGCACACCTGCACACGTCGAGAAAACTCTCTCTCTCTCTCTCTCTGTGCAAGGTTGTTTTACAAACCATGGTGAACTGGAGTAGTAGTTCCTTGAACGACAACGCGGAGGATTCACATTAGGAAAGCCTAAGTCAACCTGAACGTACTTTTCCGTAAAGTGCCCTCTTTTCTTTGCTTTTTTGTGTTTTGCTTTTYTTTTCTCCTCTTTTTTTTTTTTTTTTAAGGCTGCAAATGAATTGTACGAAATTTTAGATGTGTGCATCTCTGAGGAAAAATAAAGGGACTCCGGTGTGCTGATGTACACGCGTAACCAATTGTTTAATTTGGCTCATCGCTCACTGCTCGCCTGCTGCTCAATTTGGAAAACCATTGCGGTTATGGGTCATTGGGGAGCCAGTCCTGTAAGCCCGGCGAGCGGTAAGCCAATGAAGCCACCACCAGCTCACCGGATTGGTGTGATCGGAGAGCCAATCAGGTGATCGGTGAGCCAATCGTACGGCTTGATTGGGGTGCTAATTACCCGGGGCTGTGAGGCAATCGTATGGTGATTGGGGAGTGGACAGACGATGCGGTGTGCGATGAGCCAATCGCACGGCTTGATTGGGGAGCCACTCACCAGCTCAGCGTGTCATCGGTGAGCCAATCTGCAATCCAGTGAGCCGTGAGTCAATGGTACGATAATCAGGGAGCCAGTCACCTGGGGCGGTGAGGCAATCGTACGGTGATTGGGGAGCCAATCACCTGGGGCGGTGAGGCAATCGTACGGTGATTGGGGAGCCAATCACCTGGAGCGGTGATTAGAGAGCTAATCCGGTGGCCGTCGTACGGCTTGATTGGGGAGCCACTCACCAGCTCACCGGATTGGTGTGATCGGAGAGCCACTCACCAGCTCACCGGATTGGTGTGATCGGAGAGCCAATCCGGCGAGCGGTGAGCCGGTCGTACGGTAATCGGGGAGCCAATCACCTGGACCGGTGATTGGAGAGCCAATCCGGCGCGCAGTGAGCCAATCATACGGCTTGATTGGGGAGCCACTCATCAGCTCACCGGATTGGGGTGATCGGAGAGGCAATGCGGTGAACGGAGAGTCAATGATACCGCAATTGGGGAGCCAATCACCTGGAGCGGTGTTTAGTGAGCCAATCACCTGGAGCGGTGATTAGTGAGCCAATCACCAGCTCACCGGATTTTGGGCAGCCGATGAGCGGTGAGCGGTGGCTTGCCTCTCTCCGTACGATTGGCTCCCCAATCACCGATATCAACTGGCTGCCCTTTCTCAAAGTCCAGGGGAGGGTTTGACCCCTGCTGGGTCCCCAGTGTTCCCTTTGACCGACGGCCACCTTCGTCCCTGGCTGGGTGTAGTTTGCCTTCCATTCTGTCCGCTGTCACTTCTTCTTGAGTCTTGACGCTTGCCAGCTCGTCCGTCTAAGATGTTGTCCTCTGGTTTGGCGATCTTTCCCCACAACAGCCATGAAAACTCGCTCGGGTCTTAGTCGTGATCCCTTTTTTTTTGGTGAATCATAAGGGGGAGCACCAGTCAAGGTAACTTTGTTGCGAGTTTGAAAAAAAAAAAACAAAAAAAAAAACATAAAAAACTGAGGACCCAACGCTATAGGAATCGATTACCTTCATGATTCGACCAAGTTCTCTGGTTCGCTTTTAGCTGAGGGTTTTATTGCACTCTATCTGCAGTGGAATTCAGGGCATACTCACACTAGGACTTTTTGTACATAGCTCTGGACATAATTTCCGCCAGATTCATCCAGGTCCGGTCGTAATTGCAGTCAGGTGCATTTACTACAGTTCTAGTGTGGAGTGTGCCCTCAGTTTCCACCAATCTGGTCAGCGATGGTGGGGCTTCCTCTCTCGGCGCAGAATCTTCGGCGACGGTACGAGTGGACCTCTTTTTCCATATGGTCCACAGAGCCACTGTCCTTAGCACCAGGAACCAGCTCTTCTTTTTGTCGGCCTGTTTGTAGGGAGTTGGGGAGGTTAATGGCTAGGAGGGTGGAGGTCAGGAAGGGGGAAGAGGCAAAGAGGGTTGCCCATGCACTCTTGACCCTGTTCCAGATCCAGAGCGCACCTTCTTTTCCGTATGGTCCACAGAACTACTTTCCTTCTTAGCAGGAATTGAGTTCTTCTTGCTGCCTTTAAACTTCTCAGTTTTCAAATAATTTTTCTAAAACGTTGCCAGGTATGGTATAACGAAGTCTTTCTTTTTTTTTTTTTTTTTTTTTTTT